ACATATATTATGATGATACTATAAAGGAATATTTTGTCTAGATTTTTCCATCATTGATCCCCCTACTCCCTGCACTGTTCAGATATCATACATGTGCCACTGCAATGAATGATACTAAAAATATATTTTATCACATACTAAAGAAACAAATTATAACCAATTTTTGTTTAATACAACAATGAAGTAGTGCAATATATTAGCGTAACATAATAAATAACCGAATAGGTAAATATTTACTTTACCCGAGTACACATACGACCATAATTGTGCCGGGTTTAGTATTTCAGATTTTCTCTGATATTTCAACTTTAAAGGCTTATAAAATAAAAAAATTATTTCTGTATGTAATTTTGAAATTTTTGAACTGCTATAAGAATAACTTTCGAGGAACTTTCGAGGACTTTATTAATATATCAAATAAACAAATTTAAATTCAAATATTTGGTAAAAATTTTAAATTCCAACGATTATACTTATTTCTGAATTACAATGACAGCCAACAAAATGATTTTGTTGAAAACTGGCGTTGTTTAAAAGTTCCGGTTTTTCTACTGTTTCTTGAACAAAGGACAAACTAGATCAATCTAGATCATATTTTCTTAGGACCAAAAACTACCATCAAAGTAAATGATTGAAGCAAATTTAATATTCTGAAAATTGATATCACCTAAAAATATATTTTTTTAAACACAGCATTGTAATCTCAGAATCTAAAACTTAATACTAAAAAGTCATCCTTGATAAAGGATGGAAAGTTAAATTTGATTTTTGCTTTCCTATTAATATAGAAATTAATGAAAAAGGATTAGTGCTATAAAATAATAAAGTCTTAATTCTTGATTCCTAAAATTATATCTGACTTAAAACTTTTATGGAATTTTTACTTATTTAGTATTTATCGAGGTATTTATACTATTTAGGTAGTTGTAGGCACACCATGCTATGGACGTTTTTTATTTAATATAAAAAACCGTTCCTGTTAACATATTTTAAGAACATTTAATGAATCAGACTATCCCTGTGTATAGATTTCTGAAATATCTTCAACAAATATTATTAATCGTCGAACCCAACGTATACAAGATAATATTATACAGACACAGAGCATGTACGATTTTGAAACAGAGGTGGGTGACATGCAGACATGACCTCCAGAAATGACATCTATTGACTTTAATCTACATAATACAAAGAAATTTAACAATTACTTCAATGACAATACGTTTTACTTTCTAGACCACGATGTAGTTTACTTTTCTAAACATGCAAAGAGTATTTCCAAGGGTCATAGGTAATATTAATGTATTTTTAATATTTATTTAAATCGTTTCAATCTCGGTTTCATTTATCAAACTAATTTTCTCTAATATTTATTTACAGAAATTAAAAAATAAACGTTGAAAGACTACCAATAAGCCATTGTATACACATTAAAGTTATATAAACTTCTGATGTTATCTTCATGGTTGGTTGTTCATGAATTCATGAATATTTCAATATTTATCATTTGCATGATTAGAAAGGTTGACAAATAAAAAATAAATTATAATTTTTATATAATATAATATAAAAAATATGTAATATCTTATAACTTGTTATCAAATTATTAAATATATTTATGATCTAAATTATAAATGTAAGAATTTGAGGATTCGATTTATTCATAAAAGAATATGTATTTAAAATATTCTCTAAAAAAATGAATGTATAAAATATGGTATCTACCTAAATTATAATATTTTATGCAAAAAAAAATTTAAAAATTATGGTTTATCTAATTAATAAAAACTTCGAAATGAATTGTTTAAACTTCTTAATTTTCTTCCATGAGAGTTGGATAACTGAATACTACTTCCTACACGTGTCGCGGAGGTATAGTCAAGATGCTGAATTATCTAACCAATAATATTAATATTTTTCAGATGTGTATTTATATGCCTTTAATTTGGCTAATATTCTCAAATAAACGAGATTTATATGCAATAACTACAGTCGAAAAAATATGGAAACATAATAAATATGCAAAATAAAATTGTAAATATCATCTTTTTGTGGTATAATTTATAAAAAAATATTTACACAGCATCAATCGACCATCACTTTGTTTAACGACCTTTCTAGACAAATATAAAAAATTAAAAGTTCTCATCCATAATCGTAACTAAAAAAACGAATGATAAAAAATATTGTTATGAGATAATGAACTAATGATTTTAAAGTTCAAAGTTTAATTTTAAGTATAAGTATGCTGAAGAATTTTTACAATGTAATGGATATAACATACTATTACTGTTATTATTTACCTACCTACTGCCTATAATAACATAATATAAAATATAAATTATAATAAATGTAATTTAAATAATTTAAATACTTATAGGCACGATCGTGGTTAAAATTTTATTTTGAAATCTAAACAATTAATCTATTCTACGTATAATATTACTGTAATCAATTTTTTAACATTAAATAAGAACATGAAGAAATAAAAAATAAATATTTTCGAGTATTTCAGGCATAAATATTATTTTTATGAGGATTCTCACCAGTATTTAATACATATAAGTAACCTATGCATAAATTATAAAATTATTTACGTGCATGCTATGTATTGTACTTATTATTTATTGATCCTATTGATATACTTTAAATTTTCAGCTTTTTGAGTTACTAGATATGAAACCATTATGTAAGCTACGTAACGTATAAAATTATAATTTATTTTTGGGTTGTCCCTTATATTTTGTGTAGTAAATCCTTTTCTTGTGGAAACGAATATTTAATAGAAATAATAGTAAGTGTATTACAAAATAGGTAGGTATTACGTTTTCATTTAAATAAAATATAATGAGCTGTTCATTGTTCATAGGTATAAGCAGTTTCATGAAAATGTATAGAGTATTAAGAATAAACTATTACCTATAGTCGCACTCATATATCTCAAATAGGAACCTTGTAGAAACTAGGCATAGGTATAACTTATACTTTAATAATAAATAACTTTCTATTTTATACCTGCAATGGTATTAAAATTAATAAGTAATAACAAATCAGTTTCAACTATAAGTACCCAACTATTATAGCAATATTGGTGAAAAAAATATTATACACACATTATAATGTTTTACATAAAATATGCATTCGAATGTTACCAAAATAATATTATTTAATCACTATACCTACCTATAACCAGTTAAAATGTCAAATGTAGGTTTATCCACGCATTTTTGGAAGTTTTGAATGTTATGACAACGAAATAACTACCTAATAATTAAGAAGAATATAAATTCAAACTATACAAAGAACCTATATTTATTCTAATAAATATCTATTCTCTTAATATTGTGTAATATATGAATATTTTCTGTCCCAAACATGAGATATTGTTTGTTATGTTCAATCAACTTTTCTATTATTCTTATTTCTCTAGTTTGTTTTTAATACGTAACTGTTTAGACCAAACACCAACATCTCAACATGACAACATCTGTATACTTCAAGTACTCATTACTTACATAGAAATTATAACAATACAATTACGTCGATTTCGCTAACAAAATGAAGGTTCCGTGTAATTAGTAGTAAAATTGGTACCCTATTTTGGTTGAAGAGTTATTTGTACCACTGTAATGCGCAGAAAGCGAACTTTTGGCACCATACCAAATTTACGTGGTTCATATTATATACCTAATAATAATACGCGGTATCCAATATCGCGCATGCCATAAGTGTCTTTTAATCTTCTAGTTTACATAGGACATAATAGTACGCCGATTGCTAAAAAAAGAAAATCCCTGCGCAACAGCAACATAATATAACTTATATGGGACCATAGTTCAAATACGATCGATTTTATTGTTTTTAACATTTGTTTCACAACGTTTTTCAACACAATACAAAAACTATATATTATTAGGCATAATGTTATTTAATGTTATTTTATATTCTCTAATGTATTACTTTCTAGTTGCAATCAATGTTTATTGTTTCTATTATTAATTATGCACCTAATCTATTTATCAAAATGTATTATACATCTTACTCACCATGTATAAGAATATTAATAATGTAATGTAATAGTACGTCCGATGGAAGACGAGGACTGATTATAATAAAAATATATTGTCCTCAACAAATATCAAAATAGTTTTGATATTTTCAGTACTTTTTTTGAGGGGGGGAGTAATTTTTTCAATTTATACTTATGCACATACGTTTATTCTCGTTAAATTAATTATAGTTATAGTGCCATTGTAGGTAGCTGGGCCTAAGAGCTAAGAGTAGTACTGGAACTAACACTAAAATTTTAAATTTAAGTAATTTAAATTAATTGCAAATATCATATACGGGTAATTGACTTTGAAAAATTAAAATAAATTTTTATATGCATCGCATACAATTACACTCGAAGACATTTTAAGCACCGCATTTTAGGCATCTTAAACATAGAAACTTATACATCACAAATTGCAGATTGGTAAGAATTTCACGTTATAACTATTTTCTCACACAAATATTGTAAAGTAGAAAAAAATTTAAAAAAAAAATTGTTATATGTTGTAAAATAGTTGGGTAGGTATTTAAAAAAAATTTTTAAACACCCAATATTATACTACCAATATAGTAGAATAGGTCTACGTTACTAGTTAACATACCTACATGTTATGTTCACAACTTAAGGGCAATTAGGCAAAGGCGAGTATAATTTTGGTCAGAATTTCTGTTTTAAAAAAAAATTATTCGCACAAAAATGTAATGTTTCTCCAAATTGTTTTTAAACACATCAATACAGCCTATAGACACACGCCCACCTCGGATTTATCTATATGGTAGATATCGCGTCGAGGTGTCTCTTTATGGCTTTATATTTTATAAATAATACCCTCCTCTCGTCGTTGCAATTATTGCGAATGATACAGTTATATAATAATATTACACTGTCTTAATTCCTATAAAATAGCTATTATTCCCTGGTTGATTGTAAAGATTGTTTGACATACCTTTGTGTCCCTTGAACCGGACTGTATCAAGTACACGACCACAAACATCCAGGACGCCAGGAAAATCAATAGCAGCTTGACTTTCCTACGCATTTTTCCGGCCCCCATCGCGCGAGGGCGGCCTTTTACCGGTATGGAACGCGTAATCGCGCTCGTCTAACACACCATCAAACAATATTAACGTGTCGTAAGTATGGCTGATCGCACGCGAGTTGACAATGGTGCAGGCGAGCGTGCTACGGGATCATCGTCTGATCGTAATGTATTATTTTCAAACTTTATGCGTATATAATATTATGATATCCTCGGGTCGCACACGATCGCGTGAGATATAAACGTGTAATAATTACGATATTTTCAACGGCGAAACGAAGATAAACACCACGATATAGGTATCCGGGCACCGTGGTAAAAACTTTTTTTTTAGAGAGCTTTGGGAATTTTTTTTTTCTTCCCCCGAGGGACGGTCCGCAGATTAAAATACAACTATATATTATTGTTGCGGGACTATGCGAGAGCGGCGAAAAAATCAGCGTCGGACCGTGCCGGAGTGTGCCGGGCGGACTGGCGGAAACGACGACGACGACGACGACGACGACAACGACGACCGGACGACGCAGCAACTACGACGAGAACCGACCGCGATCGAATGCCGACTGTCGGACTGCTATTGCAATATCACAATATTATATGCCGGGGGACGCCCCGCCACCGCGCCGCGGTCGCTCGAGCAGCAGCTGATCGCGCGAGCCTAGTCGAGCTGCAGCAGGATACGTGCGTAAACATAGGTATATACTATAATGTAGGTATTGGGTACCCACCAGCGATGCCGCCTCGATAAAATGTAATTCTCCATCACGGCGGCTGCAGTGGTCGCGCGCCGTTTTAACGATCCAATGCTGTGTGTGTATTCGACTGCAGATCGCGGTCGAGATATTATTTTGTTCGCCATCGAGCCGCGACGAATATTATTTAGATGCCTAAACCGCGGTAACCGCACCGCGACGAACAGGGAAATTTATCATCCGGGGATTATTTTTCGTCATTTTTCGCATTAGGTACCGATAAATAGTAATAATCTACGGTCATAGATCTCATAAACTATGGTACATGGGCGTGATCGTCTCTTTTGAAGGGGGGGAATTTTCGACTATTCCGAGATCACGTTAGGTATACATCCAAGATATTTTAAATGACAAAAATAAGCCTAAGGGGGGATTTGACACCCTCATCTCACTGGGAGCTCTATATGGGTACCTACTAATTAGTAATTACTATACATAGGTACACGGTACACCGATGAGGAAAGACTAACAGACAAAACTGGTTTAGATAAAACTATAAGCACCCAGGTCCAAGCTATATAAAATAGTTTATTTACTGTCAAACTATTAATAAATGTGTTTATCTTTTGAGGATCTTCAGGACCTTACCATCGGTGGCGATTGGCAATTTTTCGGGCTCCAGGAAGCATATGAATCAAACCGGTGCACGGACAACAAGCTTAATTTCTTTTGTCATGTATCTAAATTGTTATTTTTCGTACATCTATATTGTCATAATGTCATTATTGTAATTTGTATTAAAACACAATTGTATCAATACCAATATGTATTATAATATACGTACCCAATAAACCTATATAGGCTATGATTTTATACTATGATTTTAATATGATTTTTTTTCTACCAACACCTATCTCCCTATCGTTGCATTAATAAATATACCTATGTATATGTCGCATCCACATAGTGAAACTACTCATTTCATGAACTGGATATCCAGACAGTGAAATTCGTCCAGATAGTGAATTTTGACGAAAATACATTATATGAACATCCATTTCATGAAACGGACATCCATTTCATGAAATGGACAATATCTATATTGTGTACTTTGTGTAATTATTATTTTATTATATAATGGTTCATAAACTATCATTATACATTTATACGTATATTATATTTAATTTTTCACGATTGATTAATATATAGGTAATTTTCTATATTGTTCTATACACAAAAATATAGCAATTATAGTCAATAAATTATATCATATTACATTATATTTTTATTTTATTTTTCATAAACCATACGTATATTATATTTTATAAACAACAGTGTTACCTATGTCCTATATTAAGTGTTATAAAATATTCATGAAATTAACTATAATTATAATATTTAACTTCCTATATTTCTCTATTGTTTTATTACCTAACAAAATAATTAATTGATTAACTTAAACATACCTTAAACGGCTTAAACTTTACATACATTTTTTCCTTATTATTTATTTTTATACGACGATTGATTATGACATCGACTGTTCCATTGCATATTATTTTTAAAACAAGTACACCTACTTGATTGGCAAGGATTTTTTGCGTTACACGAACAAGACAAAAATCCTTGCCCTCCTGAAATTTTTTTAATCATTTCTCTCACCTAAAATTCAACATTTTTATCAACTTGATCAGTAGTGAGAAATTGAGTTGTTGATTTTTTCAAACATTCACTACTGAACCATCCTTTGAGTAAACCATATTTTGTTCCAAGCTTATGTAATCCTTTTTTTTTTGTTCCGTGATCACGCAAATTATGTTTGGGGGATCTGTAGGTTAGGTTATAATTATAGTTAATTTCATGAATATTTTATAACACTTAATATAGGACATAGGTAACACTGTTGTTTATAAAATATAATATACGTATGGTTTATGAAAAATAAAATAAAAATATAATGTAATATGGTATAATTTATTGACTATAATTGCTATATTTTTGTGTATAGAACAATATAGAAAATTACCTATATATTAATCAATCGTGAAAAATTAAATATAATATACGTATAAATGTATAATGATAGTTTATGAACCATTATATAATAAAATAATAATTACACAAAGTACATACACGATATAGGTATTGTCCATTTCATGAAATGGATATGTCCATTGTCCATATAATGTATTTTCGTCAAAATTCACTATCTGGACGAATTTCGCTATCTGGATATCCAGTTCATGAAATGAGTAGTTTCACTATGTGGATGCGACATATACATGATCTCCAAAAATTGTTATATTTGGATGCATATTTTACAAAAAATAATTTTTTTTTTAATCTTATAATTATAATTTGGCTCACACAAGGACAGACCCATCTGGATATTCCTGATTTCCCGATGGACGGCTATGTAAAAAATTCTTTTTAAAAGTATCCAAGTATAGGTATAGAATACAGATACTTATTTTGAAAAGCATTAAAAAATATCCCTTGGTGTCCCTAGCTCCCCCTCTAAATCCACCACTGCAGACCAGAAGAAAATATCACGGTTAGCCGCTTGCATGCGTCACTCTTTATAATCTATATGACTGTGGTACAACTACAAGAGTTTAAAAAAAATGGAATGTGTAATCTCTATCATATTTTTAACTAAATTAAAATACATAAATAGATAATAGATATAATAAATATCTTCTCGGTCAGTTGAAATGTCTAAAAATATTTATGCATACCCCTTCTAATTATTTAACCTTAATCAATAAGATATTTAAACTTTCAGTAATCTAAACACATATTTTCACACTTTTGCATCTTACTTTAATTTTTTTCTCAAATCAAGTACTGTAGGGACGTAGGGTATACCCACCTAGAATCTAGATACCTATATCTTAAACCGTGGTTAATATAAGTCACCATTCCGGCCAGTGGATCGGAGCGGGTTGGCTCTGGTCTATCTTCGATTTATTTCGGCGAAATACGCGGTCAGAAATAGTTGCCTACGTCTGCCCCTGAAACCGGTAGGTGTTTAATAAAGGTGGATAGGATAGGTATCGGAAATTATGGCAACACTTAATTTTCGGGAAAAAATTAAAAATTCAGGAAAATATTTGTCAGGAACAAAATAAATATTATCTGGAAATTGTTCCTCAATAAAATCAAATCCGGGAAAGTATATTTTAGGAAAATGCTTTTGAGGAAAATTATTTTATTATTATTATAGACTGCAATTTGCAAGTACCTATTTACGCCAGATGCCCAGATCGCTGTTGAAATGACTACCACAGTTTCTCAAGTTACTTATTAGTTATTATTTATTTATATTAAATAGGTTTACAGTATACTATATAGAACGGTTTGTTGATTGCAGTTAATTCAATTTTATTGTTATTAATATTTGGACCGTGAAATATATTCCGATACACGAGTGGCCACTATATGGCGAAACAACTCATAATATTACATACACGCCAGTGTTATTCCGGAATCGGAAATAGGTATAAGCTACATAAAGCTATATGGATAAACCCATATAAGTAGGTAGGTACTGTTAAAATAAAATACAATTAAATTATAACTTAAGACTACCTGACTACCTACGCATGTGGCGTTTGTTGTCTCCGTCTTACAAACGTTGAAAGGATGAGTAGTAGTACATACCGAATTTTCGTTCACCAGTTTCAATAATGTGCTGATAGTTTTGATATTCGAGTGAATTAACCTATTAATAAACTTTTAGGTAAGAACATTATCTGTGCTTAAGCGTTGGCTTTTAGTCGATGTTTTAATTTTCAAGCGAGATATAAGGAGGTATGTGAAATATCACAAATTAAAAACGCTCACGTCTCTCTGGAAAATTAAAATATCGAATAAAAGCCGAAGCTTAAGCACAGTTGATGTTGATCTTATTATATTATATTCACTCTAATATCAAAAGTAACAGCACGCAATTGAAACTAGTGAACCAAAATTTGCAATGTCGTGTGTAAGCCATAGACGCGCACGAGCCATCTTAAGGACAAATCATTTTATAGGAACCTATAATTTATAATGGTCATTGGATACCATAAATCATATTGGGTGTATATCTAAATTATAATTTATAATGCGTTCGATGGATTAATAATATATACCCTGCAGGGGCGTCCTTCAGTGGCGCCAATCTCTATCTTATGCAGAAGTATACGGCAATAGGTACCTAATTTAGGTGGGTGGTGACGTGGTGGACACTGCAGTATACGATGCCCGTAGGATGTACGAGTTATTTAACTATCTGGATATAAGTAGGTACCCACTTGAAATTTGTTCCTTATTTTAGCGAGACAAACTCAGACTGTTTCAAAAGAAGTATTATAACTAAAAGTCGATTGTTTGTTTTGACGTTAGGTATGTAGAAATATTTTAAGACAATATTATTTTTCCGACTTTCCGGCAACTTAATTGTTAGGTAAGCAATTAATAATACCAAATATTTCTAATCTGTTTGTGAAATGTGTTATCCATAAATAAGACATGACTAGAATGAAATATTATTATAAACCACTTATTTGTAATTGTTCAAGGTAACAAATAATGGGGGTGTTTTTATTTTGTATTTTAATATAATACATTATACATGTGGTGTGGGGGGGGGAGGTTTATATAATCTCTGTTCACAGTTATATAATTGTATCAATCTTCAAATTCTTCATATTAATTACATCAAATATGTAGAAATATAAGTTATAACCACATTTATATGGCTACATATTTTGTAGAAATCTGAATCATATAAGTACTAGGCTGTTAATTGTAAAAGGGGGAGGGGGTGTTTTAACAATAAAATACCCCTCCCCTATACTCCATTGGTGGAACTGATTTCAGATTTAATTATTTAATTATTATCTATGCAATACCATTTGAAACTGACATCGGTTGAAAACATTTCAGGGAAGGGCAAAATCGTAAGGTATAGTTTATACCGCTTAAACTCAATCTTAGCCTATCAAAGTTTTAAATTTTTTATTATAAAATACTATGTAATATATTTATAATCATAGATTTTTAAGAGGAAATCTTACTAATGTATAACATTGCACATTTTAATAATAATAATAATATTGATTTTACTTTCAGAATAATATGCGTGCTATGTTATGGGTAGACAATTTTAAGTTGTAACCACATTATCACAACAAAATATATTATTATTAACTTTTTAAAATGCAGGTAATTTTAGTTATACATTGAAAACTAGAATATGTTCACAATATTAGATGCCTATTGATCTAAAAATTGTACTAATGCACCGAGGTACACCAATATAACACTGTATTTTACATTCATGTTTCATTTTTTTCAGGGTGAAGAAGGGTTATATAGCTACAACTTTATATTGACGTTTTAGCATGGTTAGGTTTATTAGTCTAATTGAGCTTTTGTTGATGTAGGTAGTTATAGATATTCAGTGATATTATTGAATGACATTTCCTGTTAAATCAATCAAATGTAAATTGGACATATGTAATTTGAAAGATCTAGAAAAACTAATAAATATGAGCTAGTGAATATTGCATCTTTAAAAAAAAAACTCCAGACGGAACAAAGCAAAATACAAAATGTTGAGATTTTAAGAATATTTAATGATAGATAATTAATATTTAAAAGAATAGTTGACAAGAAGAATAAGGATAATGTAAAAAACAATTATAATACAATTTATTAAAATAATTACCTACATAATATTTAATAATAAAATTGGCTGAGAAAAAAAAACTAGTATATATATTAGAACAGATCTGAATCATAACTATAGTTTTTTTAAGCATTTTTTTCAATAATTAAGTGTTTAGTTAAATGTATTTTTAACTTTTAGCAATATTCATTAAGTTGTTAAAATAATTGATACCTTTATTATATTGTAATTAATAGATTATAAGTTAGGAAGAAGTTAAATTGGTTAACCATTTAAAAAAAATTAGAGAATATAACATATAATACAAATTTCAATATTATGAATAAACAATGAAAATGAAATACAAAATATACAAAATACATAAAAATTAAAAATGATAAGACTAAAATGTGAAGAATACAAAGAAAGCTGTCAATATTTAGCGAAAGATTAAAAATGTACATTTTAGTATTTTACGATAAAAATTATCATAAAATATTTACTTAAATTGTATACTCAACTACTCAAGATCATAATGTTTGAATATTTTGTACTTATTTAAAAATGTAACTCTGAAATTGAATTAAAAATATTATATTTAAATGTGATATCACTATAGCCTATATTATATGATTTTATTCTATTAATCTTTTATTCAGATCTTAATAGATCTTACTGATCTTAGCACACCGCAGACATATTAATAATATTATAATTTAATAAGAGGATACTCTGGATACTTCAAGTTTAAACTACAGCTCCCATGTAAAATATTTCTTTATCCAAAGGACAATTTGTAGATGGTCTATTGCTGTTTCTTCTGAATGGATCACAATCAACCAATGCTAACGATTTGTTAAAACATAAACGCACTTCATCAATATATGGTTTGTTGGTACGCTAAAAAAGATAATAACATGAATTATTATTTGTTATAAAAAATGTTGAACATAAAACATACACTTTCATAATAACAATCAATATGTGGGTTTTTGCCCAATCCAGTTCTTAAAGTATGCCAAATTTGATTTACTGGATAACTGCCGTTAGGTTTAATGCCTCCCTGTTCCAATAAATTGGTAAGTGGATATTGTTTAGACCATTCTAACCCTTGTTTAAAATATTTTAATTCTGAATCTAAAGCTGACAGTGATTTGGAACATGTTCCATGTTTCATCCATTCATATTTCCACAGTCCGCCTTCTTGTTTCCATGTCCATGTCTTTGAAGCTTTAATTTCTGTCCAACGATTTTTTAATTCAGGAATAATGCTATCTAAAGCATTCAAATTAAATGTTGTTTCATTGTTACAAAAAAATGGACCAAATGCACCAATTTTAGATGGCCTAAAAATTATAAGGGAAAAAAATTTAAAACAACCCATTGTATTTTTAGTTAAATAGATGTATCATATAAATACCAAATTCCATGTATTGTCCATTGATTACGATTGGCAGGTAAGTTGCAAGTGTGAGTATTTGAATTAACAGTCCAAGTGTGACAAAAAGTATATGGCCATGACTGAGAAAATACCAATATATCCCATTCTTTGCTATACGCATACAATAATAAATACATTAATATACATAATTTAATTAATTAATAAGGTTTTTCTCCATCACTAGACAATAGTATTTTTGATTATAATATAATATGCGAGAACACAAGAGAAAAGAAGACCAAACATGAAACAAAAACCAAACAAAATAAAGATTCTGAGAAAAAATTCTGTTAAATTGAAATCAGTAAATCAGTTAGAGTCCACTCAATGACAGAAAAATTTGTTTTGATATGCTTAAGAATAATTAAGTTTTTCTTAACAAATATGCAGTACGTCTGAAACCTAGATATTATATAACTTTGAACAATTGTTAATTATACTATACATTTCATATTATATGATATGTATGATGGTAATTATATTACTTATTATTTATAAATTATTTTTTTCTTACTTATTTCTTTTTCTTTTTTGTTTTGTTACCTATAATTTTCAATATTATAGTTTTGTATTGGTTCATAATAAATTATTATTTTTAATACCAACATGTAATTTTTTTTATATCTACTTGTAAATACTTTTTACCATCATTCATTTAAATAGATTTAAGTCCACAAATGTAATAACTATAAAAATTGTTATTGGGTTTATCCCGTTTGAATAAATAAAATAAATTTAGTCCACCACTGCTATTATATAATATATTATGTGTCCACTTTATTTAACCTTAACAATAGTTACTATTTAAAATTATTTATTTAGGTACATTTATATTGAACTATATATATATTTAATTGTGTAACATAGGAGTGCCAACTATGACTCGCAATAATTCATTAACCATGAATGTATAAAATAAAAATTGAAAAAAATTAATTCACATTTATCTAAAAATATAGTTAGGTAGTTAATACCCACGTAAAATAAAATAAAAATTAATATTTCTTCTATTTCTATTGCCTATTGTCAATTATATATTATACTGCATGTTAATCATATACAAAAAAATTGTAGCAGCATCCTCAATATTTAAGTTTTTCACAAACAATAAATAACACTATCCATCACTAACATCAATTTCATTTTATTAATAAAGAAATAAATTAAAAACTTTTGATCCGCCAAGGTTTTTTTTTATAGTCCTTGATAAAAAAAAGGTTGCTCGCCACTGGTAAACACACAAATTGTATAATAGGTCATTTTTAAAAAACATTGTATATTTATCTTAAAAAGGTAATAATATACAGGGGGATCCAACAAGTATGCTCACCCCCCTCTTTTTCTTTAATAATGAAGTTTTACAAAATCTGATTTTTGGAATCTTTAAATATACTCAAAGACCATGTTTTCATATTCTTGAGATTTTTTGTACCACTTAAGGAGTGTCCTGTGGTGATACAAACTTTTGTTTTTCAAATGGGAACCCCACTTTTTTACTATAAATTATTAAGCGGATAATTTTTTGGGAATTTTGGTGTATTGAAATCCAAATTCGAACGAGTAGTTTTCTAGTTGTTACACATTTTGTGCTAAGGATAATATAGTTTATAATAGGGAAGAAGGATATGCTTATACAATATACGTTGTTATCTTAAGTCTATAATACACATAATATAAAATAATAAGTCATTTTATATTTATATAGTCAAACACTTAGGTAAATAGTAAGTAAAATCCTTCTTGATTCATTTAGTTATTTTTCTTATTACATGTATAGAACTGTATAAGTATATCCCTATTATGGACTATTATCCTTAGTACAAATTGTCCAATAACTAGAAAACCACCTGTTTGAATTTTGATTTTGCTTCACAAAATCCTCAACAAAATTATCTGCTAAATAATTTAAGGAAAAAAGTGGGGTTCTTATTTGAAAAACAAAGGTTTGTATCGTCACAGAACACTCTTTAAGTGGCACAAAAAATCTCAAGAATATGAAAATATGGTCTTTGAGTATATTTAAAGATTCCAAAAATCAGATTTTGAAAAACTTCATTAATAAAGAAAAAAAGGGGGTGAGCATACTTATTGGATCACTCTGTATAATCTTATTTATTGGGGTATCTACTATTATGCAAGTTAAAATACCCTACCACAAAACCAAGTTCTACTAGTAGTAGAGTTAACCCATACTTTTTTTGTTTGAAATGGTTGCATACTTCTATTGTTCAGCATTAGGGATTTTTATTAAAATAAATATTTGAACGAAGTTTGAATGTTAAAATAAATTGACTACAGTTGAGTAAATTGTGACTATATAATTTTAAATATATTAGGAATAATGCCAATTTCCTACTTAGTTCTGACAATTACAGTAGGTATATTGTAACAAAAATTACTATGATTTAAATAAAATATTTTATTGGTTTAAACAATTTTTTATGGAAAAATGGCTGTAAAACTTTAATGTAAAATTAAATATTTAAAAAGAGTCCTACATTTTTTTCGTATTAATTTTACTTTTAACTAAATTAAAATCTTTTAGGTACTCTGTTTTCTTCATAATATATATGAGTATTCAAATAATTTTTTCAAATAACCTTTGAATAATTCAATATATATATAGTAAATTAAGTATTGTTAACCACTGTCATATATATTATATAATATTGTGATAATTATGTTTTGTACTCTAGCCCTCTGTGGCATTTATATACTTGAATAAATAAATAACAATCATAATATACTTCATATTAATAATAATTAGTCGTTATTAATTAAAATCACATACATTTTTATGATTTGAATAGTATTATAGAATTTACTGAAAAATTGAAATGGATTGAACTTAATTTACAAAATAACATAATAACAACTACTCATTTCAAGTACACACACAATTTGTAAGCTACCTATAAGCAACTGCTTGTATTGAAGGTGTTCAGTACTTTAATTACTTGTTAATAAAAATTATACACTACGGTATAAAGTATAAGTATATGCAAAAGTACAAAATCTAACAATTGAGAATACTTATAAAATTAAATAATAGATGTGTGAACAAATCAACTATAATCCTTCATGTCAACAAAAAAAAAATATTATTATAATTACACAAACACAAACACAAGGGAAGATTACTAATAGGCATTGAACAATTTTGAAGAAAAATGAGCAAGTACTATCTAGAGCTTCTAGAATCTATTTTTCTAATGATATATCATTGCTTTCACCATTACTACTACACCACCCTGCACCAAGATGAGCAAAGCAAGAATAGTAATTTCTAAAAAATATTTTAACTCAAATAAAATAAAATAGTGCCCAACACCAGGTGGATTAGGTACTCTGTTTGGCTTTATTATAAATATTGAAATTGATTTATCCAATTTAGGAATTTGAAAATAAATACCATGTACCTAGACTTGTAGACTAGTAATTTAGTCGAGTTCTTAGAATATTGATTTAATTATTACTATTATTAGGTACCTTTATTGTTCCAGCAGGACACACTTTTCAAATAGAAAATATTTAAATAATATTAATGATTAATATTTCATGTTTGAAAATAATGGTTAAGATTTTTACTGTGTTAAACGACAAATGTATTAAATGAATAACAAATAAATATGTACCGTTGTATATAAGGGTATGAATTTGATCGATTTAAATTTTGATTATATGTATTTGGGCGAGGCTGATATGAATGTGATCTGTTAAAGTGACGAGGACTTTTAGTTGTCCACTCATCTGAGTGATCAAATACTTTTCGTTTTAACCTGTACAACAGCTTTGAGTGCCTGAAAACATAGTATTTTGGAAGGTTGTTGCACATTTTTTAAAAAAAATTTTTATCACCATGCGATTAGTAGCAGTATACATACATAAATTGTGTTAATTTTATTTAACCCAGAATTGATGGAATAAAAAAAGCAAAATTTTTAGTCAATAAATATAATTGTAATTTACTCATCAATAGTAGAATTAGAGTTTGTAAGAATAGAGTCTGTAGAAGTAGAATTAGAGTTGGTAGAATTAGCATTAGTAGAAATATTCTGTTCTGGAACATGATCCAAGTACAAAATAGGTTTTTTTGTATCACAATTAGTCAATGTGTGAGACTTCTTCATTGGCCCTTGTCTAGGTTTCATAATGCCATCACAATCAATTAGTTTTAAAGTTTTATCAAAACATATTCTTATTTCGGCCAACATTTGTTCCTTTGTATCCTACAAAAATAGTTAATCACATAATTTATTAAATTTACTATTAAAATTATTTGTTATGTATATTAATTATAGAAAATATTATTATGTAATAAAACTATAAACTTACATGTTTAGTAGCACATTCAATCCATGCATTTGTTTTCAAAACAGACTTAACAGCTTTCCAGTAATCAGCTACATTTAAAGTACTATTTATTTTTACGTTACTTTTGTCTAAAACGTCTCTCATATTGTACTTTTCAGACCACTCAATTCCTTGATAGAAGTATTTGAATTCTGAGTTTAAGGCAGGTAGTGTTACGGCACACGTACCATGTTTTTCCCATTCGTGAAAATAAATACTTTGTTTTTTATGCGTTGTCTCTATGCTTGAAGAATTTCCTTCTGTAATATTTTTAGGTGGAATCTCTATATCTGTCCAATATTGATTTAATTTGTCTTTTATGCCATAAATAGAATCAGGATTAAACACCAAAGATTTGTTACAAAATCCTGGGCCTATGGTTCCAAGTTTTGTAGGCCTGAAAAAAAAATGGATATTTAACATTGATTTTCAGCATTAAATGTAAAGTACTAGGAAGGATTGGGAGCTAAGTTAACAAAATATTTTAAATGCAATGGTAAAATGTATTTTCATCGCTTTCAAATTTATTCTCATAACCCAATAACATCTTATTCTAAAAGAAATGAAACAACTAGCAAGACAAAATTTAAATACTTGAAAGACTGTAGGTTCAATGAAAGAAGTCCAATTTTGATTTAGTCCAGGATTAAATTTTAAATTTGTTCAATACAGATAATCCAAATGTGGATTAATAATAAAGAAAAAAGAAAAACACTATCTGCCCAGCTCTAATAAGATTCATGATATATTTTTTTTTACGTTTCATGTATTAGGGAGAATATTAACAGTTTTGTTTTAACTGTCTATAAATATAAAGGAAATTGAGTGATGAGTTGGAGGTAATAGCTTGCCAATTATGGAATGGGAATCTTCCACAACTTTGTTTATCTTTGGTGTTTGGTTAGACCAAATCATGTCTCCGTCTCGATAGGTACTCATTTCTTAAAAATATAAGTAAATTAAATATAGACATAAAGTCTGCTTTTAGCCACTTTGGAAAATCAATAGGACAGAATTAAACTGTAAAATAAAATTGTGTTTTAACTAGTGTCAGTCACTGGACCATTTGTCTGGCATCATAAAAGTATAAAATTTTTTTATTTCTACCATAGGTACTAGAAATTAGAAATAAAAACTATACAAACCATAGGCCATGAACTGTCCAAATATTCTTGTCGGAAGGCAAGTTGCATGTGTGTGCAGGATTACTACTTTTCCACGTATAACATAAAGTATTTGGCCACGTTTGGGTGAATATAAGTATGTCCCAACTATTAGGATCTTTTGTAGGGCGCGGAGTTTTCATAGTCAATCTGTAAGATGAACAAAACCATTTAATTACCTATACAATATTTCTGTAGTAAATTCATGAAGAAGGTGCAATAATGTAATTACCTCGGTAATTACTGTAATATTAATATTTTATAATTACCCAAAATACAATGTACCAAGACCGAATGTTACTATGACTGCTGACAGCAGTGCTGTCCTCTTGCTCATTCCCATTTTGATATGCTAAAATGAAAAAAAAAACTGAAAATGTAGAATCAATTAGGGTAAGTTTTTTAATAATTAAATATGAACATTTTAAATAAGTAACATATTTTTTTAGTACAATCAATATTTCGTATCGTGGAAATGTGTTATGAAATACCTAATAATGATTACACTTACGCTCACTGACTCCCTCTTCAAACAGATGGAATCATTGCAAAAAAAAAATGTACTTATAGGTAGAGCGAAACAATTAATCGATTAAATGAAAGTACAGGACCTTCGTAAACTAAAATTTAGTGCATCAAAATAATGATTAATGATTATGTATTGAAAATAGTGTAACGAAAAAAAATAAAAATAAATACTATTTCATATTGTTGTAATATTACGTAGAACTGAGGGCTCACCTGTTTTAGCGCTCACTCACAATTCGAATACTCGATAACAGTGAGAAATGATCATTAATTATCACTCACATTCGGTGCGGAACTGCGAACTGAAATGAAGCGACGACACACGGACGCGAAGACTGTCGCCTGCGAAGCGAGTACGAACACAAACACACGGTAGGTAGGTCGGTGTCGGTCACGGCCTCACACTCACGGACGAATGACGTCAGGGACGCGGGCGGGTCGCGGGTACCTACGACCGTATAATATTATATTATAATAATAATAATAATGTTACGGTTTTCGCCAGGGAACGCGAACTACAAGCAGCTGCTATCCTCGCGAACAGGACTTTACAACAAGTAACAACAGTGCATTCTTTACTCTATGGTGCAGACAGTGCAATAGTGCATCGATGCAGGACGACTCTGTCTATTTCGCAGTGCAGTGTGGTGTTGCTGTACAATATAATGTGCTAAAATATTCGGCCCAAATGGGCATTAGCCATTGTGATTTTTCTGTGCAAAATTTACTACAGCCCCGCCATATACACCAGTGACCAGTCTATTACAACCACTATCTTAAACCGTGGTTACTACTCCATAACGCCTCCAAACGGCTATATTATGATAATATTAATATTGTCAATTGTGTATTTATGTTATATTGTTATTGTAAATAATGTAAATATTAATCATCCCGGTCTTGCACAAAATATTTCATTGAGTTTATTTGTTTGGTCACGATCATGAATATAGTAAATACCACAAGCAGACAGCAGTGGCATAGTCAGACATTTTGTTGGGGCTGTAAGGGGCTATAGAATTTTCGTAAAATCTTTTTTCAAATATAATATAGGCTAAAATAAACATGGTCAACCTGAGAGGGGAGTTATGGCCCTGTTAGCGTCCCTGGGTGCGCCACTGATATCAAGGATACATATCCATAATCCATTATCCACCTTGATAGGTAGGTACGTTTGGCGCCGAAGAGAAATATCTGGGTACATAGTTTTTGGATTTTTTGCCTAGTGTGTCAGCGTGTACCTTCTGAGAAAGTAGAAAACTTCAAACTTGTACATGATGTTCATTCCTTAGCTAGAAAAATCAAACACCTAATATATTTTTAACTATACCTACTAAATGATTTGCAAATTTTCGTGATTCTGACTAATGTTGAACTTCAAATGCTTATAACAAAAATCTTGACTCTGATCTTTAATAATTTTTTAATTCCTACAATAATAAATTACGAAAAACATTATAATTATCATTACATTTTCGAATTGTTTGATACATGAACAATTTTTTTATCGACAGTTTAAGAATAAAAACCAAAAAATTAAAAATATATATAGTTTGAAAGGAGTTGAAATATTTTGAGAATTGTATTATATTCTTATTTAATATGAAAATGCAAATATTTGTTGAAAATTTCTGGTGTCCACGGGTTTTCGTTTTTTAAATTACAACAAAATAAGAAAATCAATCGATGAGATAAATATGAATACCTACCTAATCAATGGTAAGTGAATAACACATAGAAAAGTAATAATCGCAACACATAATATTTTAATTTTGTGTGTACATTTAATGATGCTGATGCATAAAACATTAAGGCCACTAGTAAGATACAGTAATTAAAAATATTAAAGCTGACCTATTTCAGCAATATTGATATCAATGATACATGCATAGGTACATCATAAATACTTAATGTGGATGCTGTGTGAAAATTTGACATTTAACCTTTCTGGTTAACTTATATTTGTAATTGGTTTAATGTGTTTAAATAATTTTGATTGGCAACAATTAAATTCACACTACCTAATAATGGCTAAAATATACAAATCAATAATAATCATCTAAACATCCTACCCACACTATCATTTTGAGCATGTACCTATGTAATTACTCAAATAACTTTGCTGTATTACATACATTTTTGCATAAATAAGTTATATAGGTACTTATTATTCCAAATATTTATTTAAAGAATTCTAAAAAATGCATTTCATTGTTAAGAATCTACCACATATAGCAATGCGCCAATGCTATATAATCTATTTTATGATTCAACCATAAAATAATATTTATATTTCAAAACTACTCAACTTGTAGAGGAAACCAAAAGTTAAGACACTATTACCTTCAACAAAAAATGAATAGTTGTTACTTCAATTTTACTAAAAATATACCTTTTAGATTATCACTTAATTTTTTTGGAAGCAAACATAAAGTAACAAACTTGGGATGATAGAAAACGGAAAATTGAAATTAAATAACAAGTATACATGTATATTGAATGTTATTTATAAACACAAATATAACTTTATTGAATAAATCATAGAGTATAATATGTTTCAATGATTTATTTTCAAGTTAAGTCAACATGAAAAATAAATATTTTGTATCAATAACTGTAACAAATTATATCCATTTTAAATATTGCAATGGCAAGAAACGACATAATAATGAATGATCTCATATTTACAATGAATGTATAAAATAGAATGATAAATAATGTGAAACTATAAAAAAATTAACTTAAAATTTAATTACAGTACATTATTTACAAAGGATTTTAATTAATAGTTAGTTTTAACAATTAAAATAGTAAATACTGATTAAAAAAGATTTATAATTATTGTTTTCCAACAAGTAAAATCAAAAGATCATGAATATTTTAATTATTTGTAGTTTAACACAAACTAAAATTAATAGGATCATAAATAATTTATAAATGTTATCTTAATCTAATATGATAATGTTAACAAATAATTTTTTACTAAATGTTTAATGGCAATAGATGTAGATATAATAAAAGAGTATACATACAAATTGTACTTTCAAAGATTTAACAAATTGTTTTGATTGTTTATAATATTTTCAACATGGGTAGTGTCATAACTGTTAGGTATAAGAATTTGTTAAGTATTCATAGACAATTTTAAAACAAAACATTTTTTAAATAAATTATTTTGAAAAAACAAACAGAAATTACTTTTTGAAATAAATTTAAAATAGTTTATTAATTTGAAATGTTTACTTTTATTATAGTGTTTTATTTTTATTGCAAATGTATCATTAATACTATGATAATTATTATGTCAAATAAATTAATGTTTCCTTTCAAAATTGATTATAAGTATACATTACATTTTTATTTGTGTTATTTTTATTCTTATACATATATATTAGTTTATTACTCTCTAATTATAATATATTATATAGATATTTTTTTAAATAACTAACAATACATTTTGTTTATGATCAATTGGTAATTTTAAATTTAAATTTTATTAAGTATTACGTTTAGTACTGGGAGAAAAATTTTTAAAACCATAATGTAAGAATTAATGAATTCTGTATCTTTAATCAGTTATGGACATTTTTTTTTAAAAAAGGTGATTTTTGGTGGTCTCCTTAAGTATCAGTCACGGAATTGAATTTATGAAATATATACATCACAAAATGTAGCTAATTGTGAAAAGTATTTGAACCATATTAAAATTTACTAAATAATATAAAAAAGTTGAGTATTAGAGTAGATAATGTTAAAATTATGTATTAGTTAAGAGAAAATTAAATGATTTATTAAAATGTATTAATACAAAATTGTATTTACGTAATTAAAAAAAAAATGAATTAATAATATTTATCTAACTATTACTAGTTTAAACTTAATCTAGAATAAATATATATGATGAATTTCAACTTAAAATTATGTACATTGTACATAATATAAAATATGTGAATAAAACACTATAAAATTACAAATTATATAGTAAAAATTACTTTTTGTTAGATAAAATTATAAAAATTCAAGATAGGACTGAAATTTAAGTTTTTTATTTCAAAATACTTCTCTATTAACATTTAATAGTACAGGTACTAAATATTAAAAATTATTCTAAAAAAACGTAAAAGCAAAATCACAATTAAATGATTTTTGATCATAGTTATAACTTAATATGAATTCAAAATATTAATCCACTGTAACAATGTCTTCCAAATTATTAAGCATCTTCCAGTTTTCGCCATACCACCTACAAATATTTTTAATTAATTTTTGTAGATAATTGTATTTATTAATAAATTTGACTTATTACATTGCACATTTCTCTAAGTAATGCCTTTTCTTCGTCTTCCATGTCTACACCACTACAGTTCTCGTCACCTTTGCCTTCTAATTGTTCACGTAACTCTAGTACTTGAAGTGCAGTCAAAACCGATTCAGGATGTGTCATTTTCTATGATAAACATAATATAAAAATAACTTAAATTATTTGGAACACAAAAACTACTAAGTTTAAAATATCTTTAATTGTTTAACAAATTTAGTAATAGCATTCTAATATTATTAAAATAACAACAAGAATAATAATATTAATATAGGTTTGGTTGGAACATTAAAAAAAAAACTAATTATAAGGGTAAAAACATGAACATAGATCTAATTAATCAATTTTTAGTTTCTTTTAATATTTGCTGAATATATTCATAACTGTTTCAAAAATAACATTTTGCCTAAATTTCAGAATTTTTTTTAAACCTGTTGGCTGACGGTGCCTATAGTTGATCATTTATTACCATCGGCCACCCTAAATGAACATGGTTCTATAGTACACATCAACTTTTATATGGCACTAAAAAAAGGATTGTCTATGATAAATGCTAGCATGAATATTTTGTGAAAGTTTGAAGTCTGTATGATTATTCCTCTCCGAATGCCACAAAACAAAATAAAATTTTGTCCAAAAACGTGTTCTGTAAATAGTTCCACTTTTGTACTGTTTTTTATTAGTTTTCACGATTATTAAATCATATAAATTTGTATCTAGAAACCCTTTATAATTTGAAGATTAAAATAGATTATTTGCTTCAAAACGTGATAATATATTCAAAAAAAAAAAACAGTCATCCTTATAAAACAAAACATTCTATTTTTATCTAAAATAACTTACCGGAAAAGAGCCATCAGTATTCCAGTTATTAATTTTTTGATCAATTTTTTCTTCTTGAATCATTTTTTTAGATAGTTTAGTTTTTTCATCTTCTAACTCTTTAACCTTGGCTTCAAGTTGTCTAATATAATTCAATGATCTTTGGTCTGGTGGTAAATTTTGATCTATAAAAATAAATACATATTTGATATTCCTATAATAATATGATAATAATTAACTATATTGCCAACCATTTGACTGATGTAATTGTCTATGATATGAGCTCTGACTCTGATTACCAGTTATCATATTTTCATCAGCATTCGTCGAAGAGCTACTTCCATCACCTTCATCTCTTCTATGTAGTTCTTCAGGTATATTTCC